AGGCCTGAGTGGGTGGAAGTGGAAGGAGAGGTGAATGGAAAAACAGTCTACACTCAGCCAGATTTACAAGGGCTGCTTATCAGAAACTCCTTTCCCCAGGTCGCTGCCTGGACCCATGATCTCAGGACAGGGGCAAGGGGTGAGACCATGAATGGGTGTATACACCCAAGGCTCTTCTCCTGTTCCTTGAGGATGGAGAGGCATGGCGTCACATTGTCTGAGTCCCTTTGTGGGTCCTGTTACTGGTCTGAAGGTGTCCCTGGCCTTTGTTACTACTGCCTTGTGGAAGGGTGAGTGGAGGCTGAACCACAACAGGCTCCTTGCTTGAGCTGCTCTGAGGAGCAAGCACCCTGCGTAGAGCACCCTACATAGGACTCTCAGCTTCCTTAGGTAGAGAAAGAAAGCAGACAGATCTTGTGGAAAGAAGTGGGCTGTTGAAAGAAACGTTTTTCTCTCAAAAAAAAAAAAAAAAAAGTGGAGGCCCAACCATGTGGTTCAATTGCTCATAGAGGTCTTGCCCGCCATGCAAGAGACACTAGGTTTGATGTTCAGCACTGGGGGATGTGAATATGCATGTGTTTAATGGTCACGAACTTTTACCACCAACTCTTAAAACATAGTGTCTTAGTTAGGGTTTTACTGCTGTCAACAGACACCATGGTCAAGGCAACTCTTATAAGGACAACATTAAATTGGGGCAGGCCTACAGGTTCAGAGATTCAGTCCAGTATCATCAAGGTGGGAACATGGCAGCATCTAGGCAGGCATGGTGCAGGAGGAGCTGAGAGTTCTACATCTTCATCTGAAGGCTGCTAGTGGAAGACTGACTTCCAGGCAGCTAGGACGAGGATCTTAAAGCCCATACCCACAGTGACACACCTATTCCAACAGGGGCACACCTTCTAATAGTGCCCCTTCCTGGGCCGAGCGTATCCACACCATCACACATAGGATCTTGAAGGGTATCATGGGGGTTGGAGAGATGACTCAGTGGTTAACAATCTTCTAGAGAACCTATGTTTGGTTCTCAGCACCCACAAGACGACTCACAGCCACCTGTAGCTCAAATCCCAGGGGGTCCAGTGCTCTCTTCTGGCCTCTGTGGGCTCACACGTGGTAAACAGACTTCTATGGAAGGCAAAACACCATATACATAAACTGAAAATAAGTCTTAAAGAAGAGTATCTCAAAGCAATTTTGTTTTTCTACTGACAGGATACAAAAAGAACCAGTCTAGGGGCAGAGCTTAGTCTTTAGTCCCTGATATAGGCAAATCAAACATTCACCGTGTAGGTTTAAATTACTATCCAGTTCAATATTAAGATACTTAAAATAATCATCACACTTCCTGGGTTGAGCACTATTATTCCCAGACTGAGCATTGCTGCGTTCTGTGTCCTCTTGAGAAATGATTCGGCTCGTTGGTCCCTAAGGAAGGAGATCGGCTCGATGTCAAGCTTCCTGGGTGTGGGCCTGACGTGAAGTCTGGCTGCTGCATTAGGCTTTCAAAATGTTGTTTATCTACAGATGCATACATGCATAGAAGCAAACACGCAGGCATGCATACGATACTAACAGAGCATTTATGCAGGTCTACACATGAGTACATATGAATACTCATGCATTTATATACATCTTCACATATATAAACATGTAACATGCAGCCTTGATCTTGGTTTCATTTTGTGGCCCACCATTTTTCCCCCTTCCTCCTAGTCTACTACTTCTCTTGTTTCCATTTGATGGGATCTTCTTATATTTTAAGCTTTCACTGTTGTTCATTTGTATTTTTTTAGGCAGGGTGTCGCTACGTGTCTCTGGTTGACCTCACTGTGTAGCACAGGCTGGCCTCAAACTTGCCAAGTTCTTCCTATCTTTAACACCTGCATGCTGGGATTACAGGTGTGTCAGCCAGGACTGGCTTGCGTATCTTTTTAAAGCCACTTCTAAGCTTTAGAAGGAGGAGATAGACTATAAATAAGGAAATAGAATAAAATACAAGCAGAACAGAAAGATGTAAATAAAGTGTCCCACATTGAGTTGGTTGATTTGAGTGAGGCTGGTGTAAGAGTTGAGTAGATGTGACATTAACTTTACCAAAATTATTTCTATTTTAGAAAAGTTAGCGTTGAAGGAGGCAGTTTTCCTTTATGCCCCATTCTGTCTGGTGGAAGGAACATTCTTTGTCCAGCAGGGTGGGGCAGGAGGGTCTCCAGGCTTCATAGCAGCCCTCTGGGTTGCATGGGAAAGCTGACCCCGTTACCAGGAGAGCATAGTTGACTCATCGGATCCAAAGATTCTGCATCTGTGGACTTAGTTAATTCTGGGTTCAGCCAAACCACACACAAAAAAAAGTTTGGAAAACATTTATGGAAAGTTTCAAAATACAAAAATTAAAATTTGTACTAATAGCAAGTCCACTCAGGTGGAGTGCTATGTGGCACTGCACTGGGTACTGCAAGCAGGCAAGATAGAGAGAGAGGGCACAAGGCATAGAGAGAAGGTCTGGAATGGAGCCCAGGTGTAGCATGCTGGCATCCTAGGATCAATTCTCCACCTCCCTACGAAAGGACACAGATAGATGTAGTGAGATGCACGCACTATACCAAAACCTATGCAAGGAACTTGAGTATCTACAGATTTTGGTATCCTAGGGGTGTCAAAGAATGTGGCTCACAGATTCTGAGGGTACGCCTGAACCCCATTTACATTTTCACCTGAATGAAAGGTGAGGTTTGAGTGCCAAGGAATGATTACACAGGGTATACATTAAGCTTCTTCTGTATCTGGACACTGTCCCTGCTCTGAGGAGCTTATGTTTGTACCGTGTGTGTGTGTGTGTGTGTGTGTGTGTGCCTGCCCATGTGTGTGTGTTGCTCAGAACCTGTTGCAGATGGTAGTGAGACCCAAGATGGTGACGGTCTCATGAGCTTGGTGGAGATGTGGTACCAGGTAAAGAGCAGAAGGTGTGGATTTGAGTGAGGGGACACTGCCTGAGCAAGGAGCAGGGGATGGGCAGGAACAGGGTGAGTCAAAGGAGTTAGAAACCTGCCTAATGGTCATGGGTGGTGACCATGCTGGGGACAGAGAGTACAATGGACACTGGAGACATCTGTTGGGGTCGAATCTAGCTGGCCTCGGGGGAGATGCTTGAGTCTGCCCTTCCTGGGCAGATGTGCGTGGGGGCTGCAGTTGCAGATCAAGGGTGTTACAAGGTCCGTGTGGCTGCCTGGGAGCGAGGGTTGGAGGAGAGTGAGGAGTGAGGCTGGCTGTAGCCACAGACAGTCTAAGTGCTTGCTGCTAACAAAGTGATGTTTTTGTTGTTGGGGAGCGGGGTGGAGTAGGGAACACAGTTTAGGGAGAAAAACTGGAATTGTCTTGACAGAGTTTCTAGGGAAGGAAACCTCACCTTTCATTCAGTTGAAAATTTAAATGGGGTTCAGATGTACCCTCAGAATCTGTGAGCAACATTCTTTGATACCCCTAAGATACCGAAAGCTGCTATCAGCTGACACCATGTTCTAGGTAGCTATGTATCCCTTTCATTACAGAGCCGCTTCTTTATGTCTGTGTCTGAGAAGACCCCAGTGAGTGAGCCGTGCAAAAAGAATTCTCCCAAAAGAACTTAGAAGCATGTTTTAAAATACATTTATTTTAATTGCCATTTAGTAATAATGTGTGCTTACAGGGTGCAGTGTGACGTTCAATACATGTATGTAATTTATAATGGCCAGGTAAGGGTCACTGCTGTTCCTCATGACTGTGTCTCTGATGTGTATGAAACCAACTTAAGTCAATCACACCTTAGTTGCATCTGCAAGTTTTGATCCTGAGTGTAGGAAATCTAATATTTCATTTGGAAGAATAAATAGCTCCTGGCTTTAGGTGCCCAGAGACCTTTTTCCTTATTGTTACATGAGTTTTATTGAACCTTGGACAACTAAGTTTTGTGTTTTTTTTTGTGTGTGTGTGTATACATGTGTGCAGAAGATAGGTTGCAATAGTTCCACAAAACCTCATGTCATCTAGGAAGTTGGGTAAGAACCCTCCAGGGAACCTGTGAGAGATAATAGCATGTGCAAAGGCCCTGGGGTGAGAGGAAATAGCCTGATGTAATGACTGAAAGATGGCCTGCAGATAGAGTACATGGCAGAGACTGCACAGGGTCGTGCTGTGGAGGTCAGCCAGGATCTCACAGAGCTTGTTGGGGACTTTAATCAGTATCTGCAACATGAGAGAAAGGCACTGGAGGGCTTAGGTTGAGGAGTGATGTAAGTTTGATAGACTTTCTGTCTGTGTGATCTTCATAACAAAGCCTGTAGGAAATACAATCCCTTTAAAGGCAGCAGTGAGATTTAGGGCGGCAGAGTAATGTACCCAAGGGCACTGCGCGTGACCACTTGGAGCCCGGGAATAAACTGAGCAGCCTGAGTTCATGGTCGTTTTTCCAAAGTATCAGCCTACTTTAGTAATAATATTACAGCAAGCTAATCTTAAAAATGCTTTGAACTCTTAAGATGAAAGATTGTCCTTCAATTATGGAGTGGAATTTCACGGGGGAAACCTGAGTGGCCAGGAGTGAGTGGGTCTGCTGGGTGTTTTGGAAAGGCCTGTCGTGCATGGCTCCACTCCAGCCTCTCTGAAACCCGGCTGTCTACTGGGGCGTCTCACAACAGCTAGCAGCACAAAGAAGGTTTTGGCTTCTCTTGCTGGCCCTCTGACACTGCCATTGTCCGTAAGGACTCATTGTCCTTGGAATGTGCCCCGGGTCTCAGATAAATCGGATCTGAGTAGTTCATGCGTGGTTTCACTTGCCGGCTGTCCAGTGCCAAGTTTCTCCCTGTTGGGTACTCAGTTGGCTTAAGTGCATTCCTAGACATTGTTGGAGAGATCACTGTCTCCAGTGGGAACCCAGGTGGCTCAGTTCAGGGTTCAAGTGAGTAAGCACCTGCTTATGAGTTTCTTATGATGATGGATGGCAAATGTCTTTTTCTTCCTAGTTGACCATGTTGTTCCTGAGCCCGGGACAAGCCTATTGGCTGCCTTTGATCAGTGGAGGGAGTGGGCTGACAGCAAGTCCTGCTGTGACTATTCGCTGCATGTGGACATCACTGAGTGGCACAAGGGCATCCAGGAGGAGATGGAAGCTCTGGTGAAGGACCACGGTAGGTCATGCTTTGTTCTAACCTAAAGCCTTCCTTGAGCAAGTGGGTGGGTAGGCACTTGGGGCTACAGCTCATGCTGATTGTAGGGGCCCTAGCCCAGCTGGGAGCATAAACCTTATGACCACAAAAGTGTGACTTTCTCCTGGGGTGCCTTCTTGGTTTACAGCTTCCTAGAGATCACTGGCTTGAGGGACTGGTATCAAGGAGTAATTGGTCCTCCAAAGCCCAGAGAAACAGTAGGGTTAGTCTTTGGAGTTTTGAGGCAAACCTATCACACAAATCTGGAAGAATGAGGCTAGCTCAGTAGGTGATGAGTCTTCAAACCTGAGACAACATGAAGGCCTTTTCTACTTCTAAGAATCCCAGGAATCGGGGAAAAGGGTTCACAGGGAGGCCAGAGGGGTCTTCATTTACCTTGGGGTGCCCCAGGACTACTATCTACAGGAGTCTGGGCTGTGGGCTTAGGGAGTGGAGCTGAACCACATGGTTTTCCTGGTCCCTTTTCAGTTTAGGTATGAATTAGATCCCAGGAGTCACTCTTTGATATCACAGAGTCTTGATTTGTGGGGAAGTTTTACTTTTTGTTCTTAGAGGTTCAGAGTGAGAAATAGTATATGCTGTGAGTCAGAAGGCAAATCTCCAGGCATAGGAACAGATGCGGGAAACCTTCATGGAGGTGCTACAGAAGGCTCTAGAATGGGAAGCCAGCTTGTCACAGACTAACTATGTGACCTTGGCAACTCATGCAAACTTTGAATTCTAATATTTTAAAAATTTTCCCTTCGAACATTGGACTAAGATGGACTAACATGGAAGTCACCTTCCTAACACTCTTGACTCCGAAAATTCTTTTTTTTTTTCCAAAGCTCAAGGACCATTTTAACATAGTCTAAAAGAAAAACCCCAATGGCAGGTACATTGCCTGGAGGAGGGAGGGAGAAAGACAAGAGAAAGAGAAATGACCATGCTGTTAGAGTTGAGCTGGTAGGAGGTCAGCCACACGGCAGACAAGCAGCCACAGAGCAGGGATGGGAGTTGGAGAAGCAGCAAAGGCCAGGGTGTTAGAGAAAGCTCAATTCAAAAAGGGGAAGGAAGAAGAAGAAGGAAAAGGAGAAGAGAAGGAGAAGAGAAGGAGGAGAAGAAGAAGAGGAGAGGAAGAAGAAGAAGAAGACAAAGAAGAAGAAGAAGAAGAAGGAGGAGGAGGAGGAGGAGGAGGAGAAGAGAAGGAGAAGGAGAAGAAGAGAAAGAGGAGGAGGAGGAGAAGAAGAAGAAGAAGGAAGAAGAAGAAGAAGAAGGAGAAGGAGAAGGAGAAGGAGAAGGAGAAGGAGAAGGAGAAGCAGCAGCAGCAGCAGCAGCAGCAGCAGCAGCAGCAGCAGCAGCGGGGAGAAAAAGAAGGAGAAGAGGGAGAGGGAGAAGGGGAAGGAGAAGAAGAAGAATTATTATGCTTCCCAGAGAATTGAGAAAATCGGGCAGATGTCTGAAGCCTTAGGGCTATGAGTCTGGAGCCTGCTACACTAGGGAGTGGAGATTTAGGACAGAAAGCACACTACCTCATTCTACCTCATTTAAAGGCTAATTATTCCTCCCATCTTTTTAGCATGGCCTTAGGTGAGCCTGCCTTCCAGAGGGGTGGTCCCTTGACCAGGTGATTCACGCTCTAGAGACGTGACAACTATTCCTCTCCATCCAGAAATAGATTTCGTTTTTTTTTTTTTTTTTTTTTTTCACGGAGAGGAGGCAACAACTTTTCCTTAATGGCCATCCAATGTTACTCTAAACTTCCCCCAACCCCCACCACCCCTAAGAGGTAACCCTAAAATCATTTAGGAACCAGACCAGGGTCCACAGCCTCCAGACACACTTCTGACATTTTTGACCTCCAGTTAGAACCACTCTCACGCCTTGAGAATCCCCAGTGGATTTTAACTTTCAATTCTTAGGGCCAGTCTATCCCAAATCAGGCCAGGTGGGTTACCATGGCAACTGTTACCTGGCATGAAGTGAAGAACTGGGATGCTCAGAGGCCTTTATCTCAGGCTGTGTCCAGCATCCCCAGGTGGCTTGAATTAAGCTCCAAGGCTCTGATGTTTTCAAGACGATTGTTTAGAGCTGTGATGGTTCTTGGAGAGGGATGTTTGGTCTGGTGCCTTGGGAGGCAAGAACTCCAAGACGGACAGCTGCTTGCCAAGCTAATAGATTTTTTTTTTCTTATTTTTTAAAAAATATTTCTTGAAAACCCAGCATGGCTTGCCAAAGAAAAGACAGTTTTTTTATAGCCAAAAGTTGGTAATTCATTTTCTTGTCAAAGTCAGAATAAAGAGTTGTTTTGAGAAAGTTTTTTTTTTTAAGAAAAAAGGTGTAATAAATGATATGCATTTAGCATTAGACTATCTTTTCATTTAAAAATGAAATGTAAAAGTACTTTTACTTTTCAAAGTGAGAGAAACCTTTTTCACTTATTTTATGTGTATGAGTGTTTTGTTTGTATGTGTGTCTGTGCACCATGTGGGTGCCTGCTGCCTGCAGAAGCCAGAGGGGCCTATTAGATCTCCCTGGGACTGGAGTGATAGACAGTTGTGAGCCACTAGTGGGTGCTGGGAACCAAATCTGGATCCTCTGGAAGTGCAACCAGTGCTCTTAACTTCTGAGCTGTCCTTCCAGCCCAAGAAATACAATTTGAGTCACTTCTAAGTGTGCAGTTTAGTGGATTCACTCAGCCTTCACCTTGTTTTAAGCCATCAGTATGGGGCCTCTGAGATGGAGCAACGGGTAATGCTGCCAAGCTTGACGATCTGAATTGGATTCTCAGAATCCACATGGTGGAAGCAGAGAACTGACTCCCCACAAGTTGTCTTCTGATCTCCACAAGCATGCTGTGGCACAGGCACATTCACACACACACACACACACACACA